ATCTTTAAGGTCCTCGGAAGGAGGCTTCAATCTTTAAGGTCCTCGGACGGAGGCAAGCAAAAGTGAAAGTAAAAAGGCCAGCGGGATATGTTCGTGCCGGGAGGAGTGGATCCGTGGATAGTTATTCTAGTAGTGGCGATCACGATTGCAGTATCCCTGGTGCTGTGTTTTTGCCTTAACTGTCACCAGCCAGGGCGTGAGTGCCACTGTTAACTACCTTAAACAGAAGGCTCTACAGCAGTTTGTCCAGGAAGTGGACCGCATCGCCCCTTGGTTCGTGGTATCGGGACAGCTTACCTTGGCCACCTGGGATAAACTGGGGAAGGACATAGAAAGGGAAGAGAGGGAGTGAAGGTGAAGAATTGGAAACATTTCCTGCCAAGTACAAAGGTGTGGAAGAGAAAGAACACGGCATAAGTATACAAAGATCAAAGAGGCCAAGGGTAGTGAGGCTAAAATAATACAGACTTCAAAGAGAAGGACGAATCTAAGGACTGTGGTAAAGCGGCGGAAAGGTTAGAAAGCAAAGCCATGGGTAGCTGTTGTAGCTGTCCAGATAAAGACACTGTCCTAGATAACCATAGGAACAAGTTTAAGGTTGTTAACATTGATGATGATGGCAATGAGCTAGACTCTGGTTTCATGGAGCTCACAGACACAGAACTGATTTTGTACACCCCGAAGCGAGACTCGGTGAAATGGCACTACCTCTGCCTGCAACTCAAATCTGTTTTCTTTTGAAAGTGGTCGATTGTGTCAAACTGGACAAGGAATTTTTGTTTTTAAGTGTGCCCGTGCAGAAGAATTATTTAACATGTTGCAAGAGATTATGCAAAATAATAGTATAAATGTGGTGGAAGAGCCAGTTGTAGAAAGGAATAGTCATCAGACAGAATTGGAAGTCCCTAGAACACCTCGAACACCTACGACTCCAGGGCTTGGTGCTCAGAACTTACCCAACGGGCATCCCTGCTACCCCTCGTTTGGAGATACTTCATCTCACCCCTCAAGCCGACACTCTCTTGTGGGAAGTGCTCACAAAATAGACTATTCAAGGCGTAGGGATTGTACACCGACAGTCTTTAACCTTGATATCAGGCGCCCCAGTTTAGAACATAGGCAACTCAGTTATACACAGGTGGATTTGGAAAGGGGCAGTGACTCTGACAACCCTCAGACTCCAGAAACGACAACCACTCCCCTCCTACAAACCCCCACCCGGCGCACAGAGCTGTACACTGTCATAGACATTGAGAGAACTGTTGCTGTGTCCAACTTGCAGAAAGCACTGCCGAGAGACGACGGTACCTCTAGGAAGACCAGACACAACAGTACTGACCTGCCCATGTGAGCCCGGAAGCATTGCATTGTGAAGATTTTCAGGGTATAGGAGTGCTAGCTGTTGCCCTAGTGGGCGTCTGTGTTCTCTGCCTGTCTTGTATCTGTCATATGGTCAGGGCCCAGAGACATGAGAGGGCGCTGGTAGTGCGTGCCTTTCAGGCCATTGAGGGGGTGTGTATCTCCACAAGCATGGCTGGTAGCTTTGAAGCATTAGTTGCTCTCATTACCCCAAATTTTAGGTCTGGACAGCCCTTGCACCCCTGGAAGCCTATAGGTTTCATTGCACACGGGATGGGTGTCTATTCCATTTTCCTTGGGCCCAGCTCTTGCACCTGGTGGGCTTTGCCCATTGCACCCAGTAGAGTGAGTCCCATGGTTTGAGCCTGTCTGCCCTTGATCGTGAGATCCTACATGATGGAGCTTGCTTGATCGGGCAGTCACAGCTTGAAACTGCTTAAAAACAAAAAAGGGGGAACTGTGGAGCGCTGCTGCCACGCCCTAAAGATGGTGCCTGCTTGCCCTTGCAGACTTGGAGTAAACAAGCCTTGTTTGGTCCTGGGGCGGTACTTCCTGGTGGCCTGATCTTGTGTCATGGGTCCTTGACCAATCACAGTGCGAGACGTGGTATGGGCTCATGGGCAGTCCTACGCAGGGTATAAAGCTTCGCTCCTGGGCTGGCTCGGGGGCACACCTTCAAGCACCATGTAACTAGCAATTCCTGAGTAAACTGCTGCTGGAAGGAACTGGTGTTCGAGTCTTTCTTCCCTGCTGGTCGGGGTGGTAGGT